ATCAACCATCAACCATCAACCATCAACCATCAACCATCAACCATCAACCATCAACCCTCAACATATCAGGCCTAAGAAAGGTGGAGGAGTTGGAGGCAAAAATACCAGTTCTCACTAAAAACACCAATCCAACAGCAGCAGTGGTACCAGCAAAGAGCAAATATGGCAGCAGCCTGAAGAAGGGAGCCATAGCACCAGTCCTTCTAAAAGAGAGTCTGGATAAACAAGCTCATATGAAGACAGTGAACAAGTCCTTGCAAAAACATGCTCATGGTGATGCTTACAACACTATTGCAAAGAACGTCAAGAATTTGCTGCAACACTGCCAGTTATCTGTTGTCAGTATTATATCTCAGGTTAATTTGCTGCTGTATAACACATTGCTGAAGGCAAACACAGTGGTGAGACAAAATTTGAAAGACAACCTTGGGACTCCTGGAAAGGGACCTAAGAGTTTGCTTCTGCAGTAGTATTATAGTTGCACTGCTGGGAGATGCCATACCATCTTTTGTTGCTAGTACAGCCTTCAAGAAAAAGGAAAAGATTTCTTGTCATAAAGGTTGTATTGCACTGCTGAAGATTTGCTTAGTGCAAGGCCCACGCTTGCTAAATGATTACATAAATCTGTATAGACGATTGCTTCCAATATTTGCCGGGCACTTAAAGGTTACCAACAATGGTAACAAAATTGAGAAAAGACATCCAATGTGGACTTCTTAGAATAGTATTAACATTTGGTTTAACAAACTGAAACAGGAACTTGTTGTTGCAAAAGGCTTTGGGAGAATGAAGTGAGATGATGAATCCTTGAAGGTGAGCTTGTTTTTCACTGGTCAACTCAACTGCATCATCAATTTGGATGAGTTTGGTGTAATACTTGATGGGAATGGAAGCCAGGTTGGAGGACAGCCATCTACAACTCATGGATCAACAGACAAAGTAATTGGATGTGAAGCAGACAGAACAAACAAGAGCAGTTCACAAGTCACTTTAGCTGCAGGTAGCAACACTGCTAGTAGTTATCCTCTGCCTCCACACCTCCAACTAAAATCAAATGCAGCCAAAGAAGAGAAGAAGCAGATCCACGAAGTATTTATTAATGGTGTTCAAAATACAAAGGTTATGTACAGCAGTAATTGTATCACAAGCAATTGAGCTACAGTGGCGAGTTCAAAAACTATGTTTTCAATGTGATTGTTAAGCTTTATCCTGAGACATCAGATTTGTCAGGTAAGCAAGTAATGCTAATTGTCAACAGTGGCCCAGGATAAAATAACAAACCTTCATTGGCAAGCCTTGCGGCTGGTGTGTTTTTTCTTCATCTGGGGGTACCAAATATAACTCATGTGGTGCAGCCCCCTGATCACAATTATGGATGATACTTCAAAACCCTATCAAAAGAACCTGGAGAAACTTGCCCACCACTGGTGCATGCAAAATGATTATCTTTGGCAGTCTGGTTATCCACTGTTAGTTTTTGGAAAGCAGAATGCAAACATAGCTTTGGATTATGTCTTTAGTGAGGATTTTTTGATGATAGAGTTATGCAAAGATGAATGGAGCACCATTGGAATTGCACAGCTTACTAGTACATGCAAATACCTTGAGGACAAAAAGTGCAACATGAGCTGACTGTGTTGCCAGATGGATAAATTGATTTGACCACAGATCCAGAGACAGTGGTACTGGTTCCACATGAGAAGAGAAATACCCCAGCAATTAAAGTCTTGAATGATGCCAGTTTCAATGGCAAAGTTTTTGTGAGTATGCA